GTCATAGCTCACAGCAACCTTGAACTCCTGGGCTGAAACAATTCTCTTGTCTCAACCTCGAGGTAGCTGGGACTACAGGCACTCGCCACAACACCCAGCTAATTTTTCTATTTTTAGTAGACACGGGATCTTTCTCTTGCTCAGGCTGGTCTCTAACTCCTAAGCTTGAGCAATCCTCCTACCTCAGCCTCCCAGAGTACAAGGATTACAGGTTTGAGCCCCCAGCTTTTTAGCGTTTTTAAAAAAACCTTGCCTTTTACTTAAAGTGGGAAAAGGGGAATTCTTTTGTCTCCAGAAAAAAATGTTACACTAGGAAAGGGACAAATTAAGAAACTTCCAGGCAGCACCTGTGGCTCAGTGGGTAGGGCGTTGGCCCCATATACTGAGGGTGGCGGGTTCAAACCTGGCCCTGGCCAAACTGCAACCAAAAAAATAGCCGGGCGTTGTGGTGGGTGTCTGTAGTCCCAGCTACTCAGGAGGCGGAGGCAAGAGAATTACCTAAGCCCAAGAGCTGGAGGTTGCTATGAGCTGCGACGCCATGACTCTACCAGAGGGTGACAAAATGAGACTCTGTCTCTTAAAAAAAAGAAACCAAAAACCTTCCTCACCAGCTTCCAAGGATCAGAGTATCCAATACAGTTTGACATCAGCTTCTTTTTTGTTTTGAGACAGAGCCTCAAGCTGTCCCCCCGGTACAATGCCGTGGCATCACAGCTCACAGCAACCTCCAACTCCTGGGCTCAAGCGAGTCTCCTGCCTCACCCCGCCTCAGCCTACCAGAGCACTAGGATTATAGGCGTGAGCCACATCGCTCAGCTGACTTAGCACTTCTCAAGTTTGAGACATTGAGATACTTCCAAAACCACGTCGCAGTTTCACCCTTCAACCTCCAACAACAAAAAACCTAAACTAACGATGTTGAGTTGTGGGAAGAAAAGCATCTGGCTTGGAGGGAGACCATGCCTGCCTGCAATCAGAAAGTAGGTAGGCCACTGTGAAAGTATAGAGCAGGCTGGGCGCCTATAGCTCAGCAGCTAGGGCACCAACCACATACGCCAAGCCTGGTGGGTTTGAACCCGGCTAGGGCCAGCTAAACAACTGCAACAAAAAAATAGCCGGGGCT